ACACACGCGGTAAGTCACTGGGCGCCTTCACCGACTCAAACATGCCTTTGATCCCGTCCCAGTTGTAAGGGTACCTCGCACATCCTACTGGTGGGATCGGGGGAAACTTCCTCGGTTCATCAGCAACTCGACACCACATGGGCCTGTCCGACCCATGGACCACCAGCTGCACGGGAAAATGTGGAGGTGGAATGGTGGCTTGGGCATTCATCACCACCGCCTGCCTGTCGAGTCTTGGAACCAAGTTGCTGGCGGCCAGAAAATAATCAATCTTGGACGAACCAGCGTCGGTAATGCACGTGGCCTCCGACGGAACAAACGCCAAGCCTGCAAGCTTCTCGACCCAACCTTTGACATTGACGGCATAGAAGTCGCAATTCCAATCTCCGCCTATCACCCAGTCCAGTCCCAGAGCCTGCCACTGAGCAATCCTCTGCACAACTGCCCAAAGTATAGCAAGATTTTCTCCAGTCATGCCAATCGCCGTCACAAAGTAAACGCTAGCAAAGACAATGCCACCTGGGACCCCACATTGCACGTGGGCGCATACCGCTCTTCCAGGATATATCACATGGCTGCCGTCAGGGGGGGCGGTGATGGTGATGTTGGTGCGAGCAAAGACCACCACCCCACTCGAGTTGGACATGGCCGACTCGCCCGTCTCTAACGCTGCTGACCACAGCCCGTGCCAGCCTGCATCCCTCGCCCTATTCTGAAATTCTCCTAAACGGGCCTCCACGACTCTGGTCTCCTGCGCCAAGAGAACCGAGCCCTGGTACTCCGAGAGATACTCAAACAGCGGCCCATGCGAGCCAGCATTGACTGTCGTGATGCAGCAACGTTTAGCCGACCTCGTACCAGTGAGAGGTGGACCATCAGCCGCATCGTTTGGGGCAATGACCGCGGGCTGCCCCCAACCGCCTGAACCAGCTGACCTTGACGCCGAACTGCCAGCACTTGGCCCACCACCAGGGGCAGAGAAATGCCGCGTCGCCGAACCCGCCGCTGACCTGGAACAGGAGGCCGACGCCGAAGCCCAAGCCCCTGGCCCGCTACCAGGGGCAGACAAGAGACTGGTGGTAGCCGTAGTTCCCCGCATACTAGCCTTCCCTGGGGGAGGGCTTCCACTGGCCTCATTCACGCAATCACCTGCGCCAGTCAGCCCGACAACAGGTCCAGCGCTTCCGAGAACACAGCGGCCGCCCTCCATAAGCGAAGGGACGAAGGTAGATTCCAGAAAAGCACCAGATGCAGAGAAATGCCGAGTCGCCGAACTCGCCGCTGTCCTGGTACATGAAGCCGACGCCGAAGCCCCAGAACCTGGCCCACTACCAGGGGCAGACAAGAGACTGGTGGAAGCCGTAGTACTCCGAATAAAGCCTTCCCTGAGGGAGGGCTTCCACTGGCCTCATTCACGCAATCACCTGCGCCAGTCGGCCCGACAACAGGTCCAGCGCTTCCGAGAGCACAGCGGTCGCCCTCCATTAGCGAAGGGACGATGGCAGGACCCAGAACTGCTCCCAATGCAGAGAACTGCCGAGTCGCCGAACTCAACGCTGTCCCTGAACAGGAGGCCGACGCCGAAGCCCCAGCACCTGGCCCACTACCAGGGGCAGACAAAAGACTGGTGGAAGCCCTTGTACTCCACATACCAGCATTCACATAAGCCAATGGGACAGAAGCAGGTCCCAACCCTGCAAAATTAGAACCATCATCTGAAATAGCACATCGACTCAATGAGAAAGGGCTCCCGCTGGCCTCCTCCACGCAATCACCAGTGCCAGTCATCCCAACAACAGGTCCAGCGCTTCCGAGTACACAGCGGTCGCCACTCGAGCCCAATATTCCTTCCATTCGCGGGGAAGGTCCTGCACTTTCCGAAACAACCATCATTCCACTAACACTTCCAACCATCACACTGAGCACATTGAACACAAGCGAGAACCTACTCGGCCGACGGCTTTTGCCGCTTGCACATGGAGAGGTAGCTCGTCTGCATCTTCCTGATCTTGCCACGCAGCACCTCAGCGTCATCCGAGGGTTGCGCAGGTATCCCTGCTGCATCCAGAGTAGCCCGCAGATCATCCACGTCCATGGACTCAACATGTGGCGCAGGGTCCTCCTCGGGGTCCTCCTCGGGCTCCTCGGGCGTCTGCGGTTGCTGCTGTGGCTCTGGGGTGGGTGGCTGCGCTGCAGGGAGTTCGGCGAGCTTCTTGATCGTGGCCGCCATCGCCTGCAGCTCTTCCAAGAGGTCTGGAGGAACCCCCAGCCCAGAAGCGACCACCCCCAGCTGCTCGACCGACACAGAGAGCGTGGGGAGCATTTGCCGCAACGAAGGAGGCCCTTCCCCACTGCCGTCGGGTGGCTGAGCCTTGGACATGGTTGCCCTCGTCTCACATTCAAGCCGCAGGACCTCCTCCTTGGCCTCAACCAAACGCGTGTCGAGGCTCTCCAAGACCTTCTGGAGCTCGCTGATCTTGCTCTGCTGCTCATCGCGGGCCTTCTGCAGCTGCGTTTCCTTATGCCGAGCACTTTGAAGCCGGTTTGCCAAACTGCGAGCCTGCTCCTCAACAGGTCTGTCAGCAAACAAGGCCGTCTCGAGGGCAGACTTCTCTTCTCGGTACCGTCTGAGCAGCTCCTCGTCCTGGGAAAAGCCTCCACTCGCCACTTGCTTGATGAGACCTTCCAGGTACTTGATCCTGCTGCGCTTGTCACACTGCTTAGCATCAGCAGCCCAAGGAGGAGGGTTCCCAGTACCTGAATCAGGAGAAGAACGCCTTGCTGCTTGAAGCTGTCTGACTTGCTCTTGAAGCTCCGCACACTTGGCCTCGAGCGTGGCAGACCGAGTAGAAGTGCTTGGAGACTCCGACTGCTTGAGATTCTCTTTGAAGCACACGGACTTGTGCAGGCTGCACTGGCGACAGTACATGACCCCTGCTTTGTTGAACCAGGGCTTCTTCGTGACAGCGTGGACGCAGAAACGACAGACCCAGTTCTCACTCTCATTCTGCCGCCGCTTCGCCGCCTTCGAAGACATGGGATGGCTCGGGAGCTCCGAGCCCCGTGGAGAAGCAGTTGCTGGGGCGAACCAGCACTGCAAAGAAACTGATCGGGCGCAAGCGCCCTCGCACTGCCGCGGTGTCAGCGGTGTCCGTTTCTGCCTATGCGGGCTCAGCCCGCCAAGACAAAGCCCTTGAGCCAAAATGGCTACGGAGAGAAGATGGAACGAAGGGTGTGGAGGGAGGGGAGGGAGCGGAGGGAGGTGGGGAGGGGGATTGCAGTGGAATGGAGTGCAATCGATTGCAAGCGATTCGATTGAGATTTTCGATCGTCGATCGTTGATCGTCGATCGTCCATCCTCGATCGTGGATTGTTCATTTTGGATCGTCGGCGAAAGGGAGGGCGGAGGCTCCGGGGGCTGGGCGGCCAAAGGGGGCAAGGGGGGGGGGCAAGCTTCCAAGCCCCCCCCCCCTTTGGCACAAAGGGGGGGAGGGGGGTGGGAGCTTCCAGCAGGGCGGCTCCAAGGGAGGGGGGCGGTAGCTTAAGCACCCCCCCGGGGGTAGGGGGGGGTAGCTTCCGGGGCGGCCAAAGGGGGGTGGGGGGTGGGTAGCTTCCAAGCCCCCCTCCCCCTTTGCACGAAAGGGGGGGAGGGGGGGAGGTAGCTTCCAGCAGGGCGGCGCCAAGGGAGGGGGGGTGGCTTAAGCACCCCCCCCCCCTTTGGAAAGGAGGGGAGGGGGGGGGTAGCTTCCGGGGAGGGCCCAATGGGGGAGGGGGGGGTAGCTGTAAGCTCCCCCCCCCTTGCAAAAAAAGGGGGGGAGGGGGGGTGCTTCCAACAAGGGCGGCTCAAGGGAGGGGGGGGGTAGCTTAAGCCTAGCCCCCCCTCCACTTTGCTCGGGCCCTGCGGGCGCGCTCTCTCGTATGTATGTATGTATGTATGTATGCATGTATGTATGCATGCATGTATGTATGTATGTATGTATGTATGTATGTATGTATGTATGCATGTATGCATGCATGCATGTCTGTATGTCTGTATGTCTGTATGTCTGTATGTATGTATGTCTGTATGTCTGTATGCATGTATGATCGTATGTTCGTATGTATGTATGTATGTATGTATGTATGTATTTATGTATGTATGTATGTGTGAGTATGTATGTATGTATGTATGTATGTATGTAATGTATGTATGTATGTACGTACGTACGTACGTATGTATGTATGTGTGTATGTATGTATGTAATTACATAGATACATATATATGTATACCTCTATCGTTTCTTTTGTACTGTTGGCAGGTTCCGGCCTCGGGTGGGCCCTCGAAAAAAAACGACTCGGCATGAGAGGCTGGTCCTGGAGAGCGGGCCGAGACCTCTGGGGGTCGCCGTTGTGAACGATATCGGGGCGCCGGGAGTGTCCAGGGGTACGCTTCAGTCGGGCCTGTCCCTCTACAGGAGGAGGAGTATTCAACAATAGAAAACATTGTCTTGGGACTATCTTTGTCACTATTTTAGAGCATGTTTGGGGGCATGTTTCGGGTATCCCTTATTTCTTCGCGCCAAATTCCCCTATAGGGGGACAGGCCCGACTTAAGGGTTTGCCCTCCTGGCCAGGCCCAGGAGGGCACACGGCCCGGTCCCGGGCCCAGGGTGGGCCTGGCCAGCATCGGCGCAGGGGCCCAGCCCCGACGCCAGGACTGCTTCACCACGTGGCCCCCCACAGGTCTCGACCCACTCCCCAGGGCAGGCTCGGACGATTCGGGTCGGGCGAAAGGGGGGGATAGCAAAGGGGGGGGTTGAGAATCAGCTCACGTAGCTGATTTTCCCTGCGCCTCCCGGCGCCAGAGGCGGCTATGTATCCGGTGAGGCCGAAACCAGCTGCATGCAGCAAATTTCGTACCCCCCCCTTTCCCAATCCCCCCCTTTCGTCCGGCCCGAACGACGACGGCGACGGCGATGGCGACGAGGGCGACGAGGATGACGACTCTGCTCCCGCTTGAGGCGGTGGACCGGGCCGTCGAGAACGCGGAGCGGGCGGGCAGGACGGGCCGCCGAGGAGGCGGGGGCGGCGGCTCAGGCGACGGCGGCGCGCAGGAGGCTCCCGGGCTCGTCGAGCAAGCGGTTGGCCCGATCGGAGTCGGTGCTCGCAGGTCTCGGGGGCCCCCAAACGGGGTGGTGACCACACCGCGCGGTGAGTCCGTGGGGATTCGGGGTCACCACACGGTTTTGGGACTCGAGGCCCTCTCCGAGGACGTCTCGGGCGACAGGGGACTCCAGGGTCCCAAGACCGTGCGGTGAGGTCTTGGGGGATTTCGATGTCACCGCACGGTCTGTCACCGTACCGTTTCGGGACTCCACAGGGTCGGGACGATCGAAGTGGGTACGGAAAGAATGGGTACGATGCCCAACAGCAGTTCCTGTTCCATCTGTCCGCGGGCTCGTTCCGCGCCGCCGCGGGCGTCGTTCCCTGCAGACAGCAAGCCGCCTGTCCAACGGAGACCGCTGTCCGTTTTGGGCAACATTTGTCGTTGGGCATTGTGCCCATTCTTGTCCGTACACATTTCGGGCGTCCGAAGCAGGCTATCTGTCTCCCCCAATCCCCGAGAGCCTGGGATTATTATACACCCCCAGGGGGCTCTTAGAGCGCACTCCCATCGAGGATGACGTCCCCCCCCATCGTCTATCCCAGGGTTAGGGCCCCGAAGTTCAGGTCCATCCGAAAACCTCCCAAAGCCTGGGATCGGGTTCGACATACCCCTAGAAGGGGGACGAAGACTCAGAGGGGGAGAATGTACCACTACTGCTTCCCTTGGGGTAGGGGATCGGCTACAGAACTCACTCATTCACCCCAAAATGTTTCTTGTCGTCGACTATGTGTGCCCAGGTCAGCGCAAGTTCTGCTGCCTAGTCGTCGTAGGCTCGTCGGATGTTCAGCTCTGGGGTAAATCACCTCCGCAGTCGATCCCATGCCCGAAGAATGGGGACGCGGGCTCGGACTCCGAGAGCTGCTCCCGGAGCCCTCCCTCTGCCTCTGCTCCCAGGGAGCCCGCCTGGGGCCACGGGGCCGCCCGCAGAACGGCTCGGGATGTAGGGCTAGTACTGAGTCGGGCCTGTCCCTCTACAGGAGGAGAATACAAAATAGTCAAACCATAGTCGGGGGACTATTTTTGTTGACAATGCTTGAACATGTTTGGGGTCTTTTTTGTGTATTTTTGATTCTTTGCCCAAAACCCCCCCGTAGGGGGACGTGCCCGACTGAAGGCTGGTACCAGGCCCCCCCTGGTGCCAGCTCTTCATCATGAGCCGGTTCTGTCCCCTGAGGGAAGAAGGCCCCCTGGGAGTCCAGACCCCCGCGCTCCTCGGCGTCCTCCCCAGTCATCCGACGGGCTGCTTCTTGCTGGTTCAGTGCGCGGCCCCAGCGGTCCCGACCTTCCTGGCCCAGAGGCCGTTTCTCGTGCCGCTTTCCTTTTCGATTGCCCAGGGGCTCAATCTCCCAGACCCCTGACGTCATGCTGTTTTCGAAGCGTCGACCCCAGGGGTCTCCACCCACTGCCCCAGTCTCGCTTTTCAGCACGAGTCGTTTTGGGACGGTCCCGGGTGCCCGGCGAGGGCCCCCAGAGGGCGAAAATAGCGAAACACCTTCGCCGTGGCTTTTCCATGGCGCGAGGGGGTGTGGGAGCGGGCCCCAGAGGCCGATATTGTGATGGAGAAAAGGCCCAGGTTGAACACATCGCGTCGTCGGGAGAAATCTGGACTCTTCTCGTGGCCTCACCAGGATCGACTACACGTGAGAGTGACCCGTCGCCGCAGTGACCTTGGGCGCGGGCCCACTGGGGTCCCCCGATCGCCGACCGCGCTGCTGTCGTAGCGTCTTGCATGTTTGACCCCCCCCCCCCCGCGGCGCCTAAAAAAAAGCCGCGCACCACATGTCAGTCTTGCCCAGGGTCAACCTTGCGTGTAGCCTTAGGTCGGGCGTGTCCCTCTACACAAGGAAGATTCACAAGTAGTCAAACATACTCCGGGAACGAGGTGTCTGCTATGTTTGAATATTGCTGATTGTTTTTTTTGGTGGAGTGTGTTTTCGTTTTCCTCCAAAAATCCGCCTGTAGGAGGACACGCCCGACCTGCGTGCAGCCGACAGGAGGGCGGCGCCGCCGCCCGGGACAGGGAGGCCGCCGCGCGGCAGCGGCAGGCCCTCGACATCATGGAGGAGCTGCTCACCGCCGAGGCACGGATCCGATCGATCCGCGCTGGCGTCGATGCCGGGCGTCGGTTCGGCATCGCTTCTCCGATCCCCAACCCCATCCCCCATCCCCACTCCCTTCGAGACCCCCACCAAATTGCCGCCCCAGTTGGGGATACACGCCTCGAAGCCCGAAGGGAGCGACCTGATCCCTTGGTCCAGGGGGGCAAATCGGCCAGCGGGGCCCAGGCCACGCCGCTGGGGATGGGGATCGGTTCAACGATACTCATCGGTGGCGCGCAGACGGGGGCTGGTCGGGTGTTGCTAGAAGTGTCCCTGGCCCAAGGTGCCCCCGCGATTTCCAGGGAGGCCTCGACGGCCTCGAGAGCACCCCTCACGAGGCCCAGGGGGCCCCAGGGGCTCCAAAATGGAGCGAGAAGCTGGGGGCACCTTGGGCCAGGGGTACCTCCAGCAAGCCCCGAGGTGGGGGGATCGGGACGATCGAAATGGGTACGGAAAGAATGGGCTACAGAAACCGACAGAAATTCCCTGTTCATCCTGAACAGGGCTCGCTGTCGGCGTCCAGTTGAGACAGAAGGCCGCCTGCCCAACAGCGACCGCTGCTAGTTTTAGATAACATGTGCTGTTGGGCATCGTACCCATTTTGTCCGCACCCATTCTGGGCGACCAACGTTGGAGGGGCGCGGGCTTCTTAGAAGCATCCTTGCAGCAGAAGGCGCGGGCGGCGGCCGGCGCCTCCTGAGAGGCAGCCTCCTGAGAAGCCTTCCCCCCCTCCCTCCCCCTGGCCCCCTGGTGCGCGGCGCCAACCGATCCCGACGCTCCGCCGATCCGGCGCGGCCCGATGCTCGCGTGGCGCTGCCGTGCGTGCGCCCCGAGGCGCCGCCGAGCCGTTTCGAGCTCGACCCGGGGGCCCCCCCGGGGCGCTCCTGCACGGGCCTCGTCTCGGAGGGGTCGAGGAGTGCTTGGTATCGCTCGGACGTGTGCATTTTTCTTTCGGCGAGGACCATCGAGGAGCATCCTTGATCATTTGGCGAAAAAGCCACGCACGAAACCGACAAAAGCACAGGGAATGGACGTCCGAGCGATGGCCAGTGGAGGGGTCGAGGAGTGGGCGCCTCCCCCGCGGCGGAGGGCGCCGCCCTCTGGGAGGCGGCAGAGGTCGGCGGCAGCAGGCGGAAGTAGAACGAGAGCGCGTTCGTCCTCCTCCTCCTCCTCCTCCTCCTCCTCCTCCTCCTCCCTCCTCCTCGCTTCTCCTCCTCCGCTCCTCCTCCTCGCATCCTCCTCCTCCTCCTCCTCCTCCTCCTCCTCCTTCTCGCTCCTCCTCCTCGCTCCTCTCCTCGCTCCTCCTCCTCCTCGCTCCTCCTCCTCCTCCTCTCCTCCTCCTCCCTCCTCCCTCCTCCCTCCTCCTCTCCTCCTCCCTCCTCCCCTCCTCCCTCCTCCTCCTCCTCCCCTCCTCCCCTCCTCCTTCCTCCTCCTCCTCCTCCTCCTCCTCCTCCTCCTCCTCCTCCTCCTCCTCCTCCCCCCCACTCAGTCGGAGGGGAGGAGGGGGAGAAGGAGGAGAAGGAGGAGGAGGAGGAGGAGCTGCTTCTGAGAAGGCGCGGGCCTTGTCTGTGGATGCGAAGCCCGCGCCTCCTAAGAAGCAGCCTCGTTCTGAAAGGCCTTCCTCCCCTCTGCCATACCTCCTTGTGCGCGCCGCTCAGACGGTCAGGGGCAACGGGGGGATGGGCTCAGGGAGGGGATGCATCGACCCCGAATCAACCATTGATCGCCGACGGGGCCCCGATGGCCCAAGCACGCCCAGGATCGACCAGGAACGCTCCTCCCCCAACCCCCCTCGGCGCGCCGCCAGATGTAGCCCGATCCGATGCTCGAAGAAGAAACAATTCTAAAACATCAACTTTTGGCGCTCCACGCGGATCTCTTGGATCCGAGCTGTGCCCCCTGGCGGCGCCTCCGGCGCGGCCCCTGGTGCGCTCCGCGCGCCAGGGAGGGGGGGCCCAGCGCAGATCCAAGAAATCCGCGCGGAGCGCCAAATCTTACGTTTAAAAGAGCGTGTTTTCTTTTTCTGGCGGTGCAATCTCTCCCGAGCCGATGCGGTCCGATCTCTTCCTAGCCGATGCGGCCGAGGCGCATTCCGATGCGGTCCGATCCCTCCCGAGCCGATGCCGACGATAGCCCTGCCGAGGCCACGACCAACCGCTGACGCGGGCGAGCTGCCGCGCGGGCCCCCTCGCCGTGGGCCTGGGGCGGCGGCGACGCCGCAAGGGGGCCGGCGCCCGACGAGGAAGAGGTCCACGGCGCCCCTCTTCTTCGCTCCTCCTCTTCCTCCTCCTCCTCCTCCTCCTCCTCGTCCTCCTCCTCCTCCTCCTCCTCCTCCTCCTCCTCCTCCTCATCCTCCTCCTCCCCTCCTCCTCCCCCTCCCCTCCCTCCTCCTCACTCCTCCTCTCCCGCGCTCCTCCTCCTCCTCCTCTCCTCCTCCTCCTCCTCCTCCTCCTCCTCCTCCCCTCCTCCTCCTCGCTTCTCCTCCTCGCTCCTCCTCCTCCTCCTCCTCCTCCTCCTCCTCCTCCTCCTCCCTCCCTCCTCCTCCTCCTCCCTCGCCCTCCTCCTCCTCGCTCCTCCTCCTCCTCCTCCTCCTCCTCCTCCTGCTTTTGGCTCCTCCTCTTCCTCGTGCCTCCTCCATCCTCGCTCCTCTTACGGTCGGACCGATCACTGCAGAAGAACGAGCCACCACCATCAGCAAGGGAGGCTGGCCGCCCCACCCCCGAGCTGGTGGCAAACCGTTCCGGGCGCGCCCCCAGAGAGTTCCCAGGACTGAGCGGCACCGGGTCGGGGGGGGCGGCCTTTGTGAACGGAGTTCTATAGAGGTTTGGTGGTGGTGAGCCGGAAGGTACCCTGATGTTCTTAGTGTCTCTGTTGGATATTCTTGTGCATCCTGGGGCGGGTATTCATTGGATCTTTTGTATGCGCTTGGCCGGCGGAGAGTCTCATGGTTTTGAGGGACGTTCTTCTGTTCTAGATTTAGCCGTACTCCGCGATCCTCCTTCTCTTCCTCCTCCTCCTCCTCTTCAATCCTGCTACTGCGCAGCGCTCTGCAGCGATCCCATGTGCCGCCGCGGGCAGTGGGCTCGGGCCCCCCCCGGACTATGCCGGGAGTGACCCTGATTCCGTCTCAGATGGGGGGCGGAAAGGAAGACGGCAACCATTCCGTCCTCCTCGACTCTCCTCCCCCTCCTCCTCGATCCTGCACCTCCTGGATCCACCTCCTCCTCTCGATCCTCCTCCACCGTCTCCTCGATACTCCTCCTTCTCCTCCTCCTACTCGACGAGTGGACGACGACGCGGCGGCGAATGCGACGGCGACGGCGTCTGTGACGGCGACCACGGCGACCCCCCTCGTCTCGATCCTTCTCCTCCTCTTCGATCCGTTGTCGATGGGAGTGTGAAAAAGGATGGCCGCCCCTGGTTTCATGCGGCTGGCTGGGCCCTCGCAAGCCAGGGCCCGATGGCTCTCTCTGTCTTTGGTTTCTTTCTTGCCTGCCCCTTCGGAGGTGGCCTCCCAGGCAACGACGCAGCCGAATTCCTGACTTGCCTTGCAGCCAGCCAGTCAGAGGTATCACCAAGATCTGCTCGTACTACACAGGAGCACTTGATTTCCACAATCACCATCATCACCACGTTTTCGCCAGTAGGAAGAATAAGTTCGATGGTGCCAGATCCCTAGCTAGGCGTGGAGGGGCCAGCCGAGATGGAGGATTTGCTGTAGACAAGGGGAAAGCACACCACGGTGAAAGCACACCAAGGGCATCTCGACGCGGCCAGCTTCAGGACCCTGGGCATGGCTGCGGAGGACCGCCTCGGCAATGCCGCCGCTGACTGGCCAGCGGGCGCACCCCCGCGCGCGCGGAACCCGCCGCCAGCCCTGCTCGCTGGGCGGGACAACCGATTGCGCGCCCTGACCGTCGCGCAGCGGCGGTTGGCAGAGGTGGAGCCTGCAGCGCTGAAGGCAACCGCCGGCGTAGCCCCTCGGGCGCGCAGACGGCGCCGCGGCCGTCGGGGCGTGTCCAGCGCGCCGCCAGGCGCGACGCCGCAGGGCCCTGCGGCCGGAGCTGCCGTAGAGCTGGCGCCGCCAGGCAGCGCGGGCGGCGGCATCAGGGCCCGGTGCGCCGCCGTGTTCGCGGGGCACCGCCTGGCAGCTGCGCGCCGCCGCGCAAGGCCCCTGGTGGGTGGCCTGCATGAGCTGCGGGAGCTGCGGGCGCGTCCGCGCCCACGTGGCCACGGCTGGCGGCGGCGCCGTGCGGGGGTTGGGCCGCCGCGATGCCGCGGCGGGCAGCTGCCTTGCTGCCGTTGCCCACGCCCTGGGCTGGCGGCCGCGGGGCCGAGTGGAGCGCGGCGCTGCGCGCGCCCAGCGCAGCGCCCGGGGCCGCCAGACTGAATTCAGTATTCGAGCGGCCTGAGCGCAGGCCGCGTGCCGCCCCGCCCCCCCGTCCCCCCCCTCTTCGACCTGTGTTATGTGCCGCTGGGCTTCTCTCTACGTGTATGTATAATAAAATATATGATGCATTTATATGTATATATAAACATCCCAAACAACAAGTGAACAAAACAAGCAAACGAATTGTTTAGAGCCTTTTTTCCGAATCATCGGGGGCATGCCACAGGAATTTCCAAAGCCGACCGCGCGGTTCAGACGGCTGCCGCTAAGCTCTCCCGGCCCTGTGAGGCCGAGGGAGCCTTTCAAGCGGAGCTCTCTCAGAGATTCAAGAGGTTTCTTGGACACGTTCCTAACGCCGTCGCCCCATGGCCCAGAGTGGCCACTCGGGTAGGGGGCAAGGGCCCAGAAGCCACTGCGCAAGACGCGGATTTCGAAATCGTGGCAACGCAAACCTGCGGTCGGGGGGGCTTCGGGCCCAGGGGCTGCTGCGGCCCTTTCCCCCCCCCTCTCGGGCCTCCCGAGGCCCTCGTGCGGCCCACATCAAGAACCACGAAGGCAGGCGACGTTTTGCTTTTTCTTCTACTCGAGATTCACGAAGGGAAAAACATACAGACAAAAGTAATCCTCGATTCCCCAGAAAATATGGGAACATATGGCATACGGGAGGTGGAGGGGAAGACGAAAATCAAACAAATCGGCGGCAAGATGGGGAATCCTGTTATTTGTGTGAATTTACTTGTGTGTCCCGGGTCTCCTTGAAAATATCGCGGAACATAGGTTCAGCGGAGGCACCGTCGGAAGCCTCCATCTGCGTTGCCTCCTGTCGTTTCGTTTTACTTTCGGCCGGTGTTCGTGGGATGTGTTT